AGTAAGTGGCAGGACATATGCAAGGAGTCAAGATAATGGTAGCCCTGAAACTGATGGGATCTCTTTCTTACCTTTCATTGCCAGCAAGTACTCTTGGGGTCATTTTGTGTTGAAGGGGTTATGAGGAGGGGCTACTGAGATTTCTGATCCTTTCTCTACCAATTTGAAAGTATTTATCTTTTTTTCTGTTCACTGTCTAGTATAACATTCCTAAAAAAAAGTATGGTTCCTTCACTTAATACAATTTAAACATGAATAAATGTAATTTACCCTTCTTCCTCCAAAAGGCCTCCTTGTAATACATCATGCACTTAATGATAGCTCCCATTGGAACACGCTGGATTAACTGGTTTCTCTCAGTCGGTAACTCTGGTCTGAAGTGGATCTTGGCCGTCAAAGTTGGAGGGATGGCACTAATTACATATCTGCACTAAAACACACAAACATAAAATACCACTTCAAACATGAGTCACAGTATTTACAGAGGGCATGAAACATCATATTTATCGTTTTGAATGACACTGAGCAGTAACACCATACAGAATGAGGCAACAACAAGGCATTCAACCAAGGCTGATAATTTAGAAGACTGAGTTGGAAACACGCTGGTATTAATTATGTCACTGCTTGGATTATATTTGGTTAGAAGCTACAGAAGATACAAGGCCTATTTAATATACGCTCTTTTTGACTAAATTGAATTACCTTATATATTTCATGATTCAATGTCTCTATGATGATGTTTTCACCTGACTGGTCAACAAATGTGACAGGATGCCTCAGCCTCACTTTGTCCCCAAGGAGGTTCGTTATCCGTTCACTCACTTGACCAGATCCACCTACAAACTTCCGTTCCTACAGAAATCAGGCAAGAAAAGAAACATTATAAAAGTCCAAAGAAGAAATATCATATTGCCACTGATTGGAAAAACTCCAGAAAAATCACTGGCCATACCTCTACCTTCTGCATACTTAAATGTTGGAAGAACTCATTAGGACAGAAGCAGTCTACCAAGAGACCTTGATTATCATGCTCTGCAGTTTCTGGCAATGATAAGCTGTTACTAGTTTATAAAGTCACAGAATCAGAAGAAATGTTCCCTTATAATAGTAGTCCCTTGACTGAATGCAAATATCAAAAAATCTGTGGGCTTCAAATGCCCAAGAGTGCAGTGCATGGAGGAAGCCCTGAGAAACGAAGAGTGATGTACTTCCCCAGAAGATGTGATTCCTTTTTTTTTTTAAGTTATTTTTTTCTAGTTTTATTGAAACAAGGATGCACTTTCTAACTCCCCTAGGTTTCTCAAAACCCCAAGCCAAGGGTTTTCTAAGCAGATTAAAATGTTCTCCAAGAGAACAGGCTGAGGGTGCTATTAGAAATCATCTGATCATCACCAAATGATGTTCTAAGAATCTAAATCTCAGATATTGAATTAATTTTTGAAAAAATATCTAAAAGTTTCAATGCAAGGGGAAAAGGATAAACGCTAAGCACCTGTCTATTCCTCTAGATGTTGTTAAATAATTCCCTTGAGCAGCCCTATAAGACCATGAGTCCCACTGTGATCTGCTGTATTAACCATGGAAATAGTTCCAGTTTAAGAAGTTAAGTTCTTAATACAATGTCTTTTATAAGAACCAGGGAAATATATTTAGCCTGTTATAGAAGATTCTCTGAATAGTTAGAAATACACATAGGCATTGAGGCACAGCCCAATATTTGACAATTATGTACTTCAATCATGCTCCGCCAGAAAAGCTTGCATGAGCAGCCATGCAGTCATTTTTATGCTTTTATAACTGATTTTTGTTCTAATGATACCACCAAAATTCTTTATAAAAATATTCTCATAGTATTTCAGACCTACATTCATGGTCTGTCACTCCTCAAGAAACTGGGACTATTTAATTTATAATTTGACCCCTGTTTTCCAAGACTTACTTTGAATTTTAGTGTAGTGGAGAGACCATGGACTATTTCCATCTTATTCACTGTCTACCTCCCCATGTCTAGTATTGGTTGAATTAAATTATTAACAGATAAATCTAAGTTCTTTATAAAGATATTGTGGTAATTGTTTGAAATTCATAATCTGAACTGTTCTTTCCAAAAGTTCATGTAGGTTTTGGCTAGAAGTATCTTCTTGGCTCCTATGAATGAGGGATATAAATACAAAATATGAGGCAATATACTTCAGAAAGTAAAATACAGGTAAAAAGGAATAATGTGTCATTTCTGCCTATAAGAAAAGAAAAAATACAATTGTCCTACATTTGCTAAAGCTAAGGATCAAATGGGCAATAACTCTTGGGGCCACAAAGACATCTTGGGGAGTTCTGGAGATTTACCAGTGGTATGGAACCAGGCAAATACTAGTTCACAGCAAAAATTTAGAATCCAAAATGTAGAATTTACTATTGAAAGAGTAGCCATAAATCACTATGTGAATAGGAAGAACAGTCACTTCCATTCTATAACAGTTAACGAAATAATTGAGATATAGAATGGGACAAATAAGCCTTATATCTGGAACAGAGATGACTAAGTACAATAATTTTACAAGTACAGTAATCACCCCCTTATCTGATGGAGATATGTTCCAAGACCCCCAGTGGGTGCCTAAAACTGAGGACAGTACTGAACCATATATATACCTTTTTTTCCTACACATACATACACTTTACAGCATTTATTTGGCATATCTGAATTGCCAGCATCATTACTCTTCTTCCACTTTGGAGCCATTATGAAGTAAAATAAGGGTTACTTGAATCCAAGCACTGTGATACTGTGACAGTCAATCTGATAATTGAGATGGCTACTGACTAATGGATAGAGAACATCTATAGCATGGATACACTGGGCAAAGGGATGATTCATGTCCCAGGTGGGACAGAGTAGGAGGGCATGAGATTTCATCTCACTTCTCAGAAGAGTGCACAATTTAAACTTATGAATTAGTTATTTCTGGAGTTTTCCATTTAATATTTCTGAATGCAACTGATCACAAGTAATTGAAACAGCTGAAAGAGAATCCATGAATAAAGGGTGGGGACAACTGTACTAGAAATTTTTGGAAATTAGTTATTTCAGTAATTTAGTTCCTCCTACATAATTTTACTTACCACCAAAAGGAAAGAACCAAATTTCTGAAATCTAATTAATTCAAAATGAAACATTCTTTAGCTGTGAACTTATTTTTAGGAATGAGAAAAGGAAATGAGAAATTTTGTTTTCAGAAAAGTTTTTTGAGATTATTTTAAGCTGGTAACCATTCATGTTTCAAAATATGAAAGCAGTTATTAAGATGCTGATCTGGCTGAGGGCAAAAATCACAAATTTTATTATATCTGAGAATGGACACTCCATACCTGGCCCCCATTGGTAATCGAGAATATCCGAGTGGTGCCACCGCACTGCTTCACATACCACAAGAACCATAAGGCAGACACCTCGTGGGCCTCAGAGGTCACATTGATGTTCACAAAGAGAGATGCAAACTGCTTAGCAGTGCTGGTCACGGAACAAGAGCAGATGCCAGAGGTAAATACATATATGCTTCACAGGATATCATGTTTTTAAAACACAATTTAGTATGGTTAGAAAACATTTTTATGGCTTTTGAAAAAAAAAAAAAACTCATGAACTCAATTTCTGAAGGAATGCATATTTTAACTCTTGGGGAAAATAATCTTTTTCTTTGCTTTTAGGAAATGATAGGTTAGCTCCAAATATGCTAATCCCAGTATAGTCCAAAAGGTCAATATGCTTCTTAGGGATAGTTAAGAATATTTGCTCCCATTTACTTGAATAACCATTCTCTACTCTCCACCTCCACTGTCCTCACTCTGGTCCAGGCTACCACTGCCCATCACTTAGGTTACAACAATGGTAGCTCTTCATGGTCATCCCTATCTAGTAATCTTATAGCTCCTTCTTGATGCTTCTCTACATTATAGCCAATGAAGTCTTTTAAGAGCCCCAAACTCAAAACAAAACAAAACAAAAAACACAAAGCCACTCTGCTTAAAATACTTCAATGGTCTTCATGGCAAAAGGACCTTTATAAAAGCCGTTCCCTGTTCTCTTTACCTGGAAAATAACTTCTCTAAACACCCGCTTTTCATAACTTCCATCATTCACTGTGGCTCATTCTTGGAATATACCACCCTTCATACCATTCATCCTTCAGGTCTGCACCAATCCACTGTATATAATTTTTGAAAAGTACCATCCATCCTCCACTTTTCTTGTCTACATAGCAACTGGCTCATTACTAGAAGATAACATTCTCCCACACCATCCATTGGTTCTGTCTTGCCCCATCCTCTGTGGCTCATTGCTGCAAATACCATCTAAACACATATTCAATCTCTTATATCTCTCCTTAACCACTGTGGCTCATTCCTGGAAGAAACCATCCCTCACATCATCTATCTTTCTTGTCTACCCTTACAGTCACTGTAGTACATTCATGGATTATACCATCACCTCATATAAACTCTATTTTTGTACCTCCCCATCCACTGTGGCTCATTTCTGGAAGATACCATCCCCTATACCAACCACTATAGCCTTCCTCTTTCCCCATCCACTGTGGATTAATTCTGGAGGATACCAATATCACCCCTGACACCATCCAGCCTTCCTGCTTTTTCCCCATCCACTGTGACTCATTCTTGGAAGATACCATCTGCTCACATCATCCATCTCTCTTGTTCTCGCCCCCACTCCATCCACTATGACTCATTCCTGGAAGACACCATCCCCCTACACCATCCATCATTCCTGTCTTCACCCATCCACTGTGGCTCATTCTTGTAAGATACCATTACCCCACACTATCCACCTTTCATGTCTTCCTCTATTGAGTGGGAATATACCATCTCACCATATTATCCATCTTTCCTGTTTCCTTATATACACTAAGGTTCATTCCTAGAAGATACCATTCCTTCACACCATCTACTCTTCCTGTCTCCAACAACTGGCTCATTCTTGGAAGATACCATCCACACACACCATCCATCTTTCATGTCTCCCACCATCCACTGTGGCTCATTCCGAGAACATACTGTTTTTTTTACCCCATCCATATTTCCTGTGTCCTTACCCACTATGGGGCATTCCTAGAAAACACCATGCCTTTATACCTTCCAACCTTCTTTGCCTCCTCCCATCCTCTGTGGCTTATTTTTAGTTGACCCTTCAACTTTTTGGTTTATGTTTAAAGACTGATTCATCAAAGAATATCTCCTTTATTTAGTTCAGGTTCACTGTTACAGTCACTCTCCTAGCATTATGTAATTTTGTTTATAATGCTATGCTCCTATTAAAAGAATATAAACTCCATGAGGGTAGGGGCCCGTTTAACAAATTCACCACCATTCCTCAGTGTTTGGTACAGTGCCTTCACATGCCAGCCCTAAAATGATGACTGAATGATCTGTAAGTAACTCAGCTACTAACACATATTCTTATTGAAGACATATACTTTATATTTTTGTTAAAATAGACTAGTGTACTTCTAGTTTCATATTTTTATATCTATTTGGAATTACTTTAGTATCTTTCAAATTGCTTCTGTAGCTGACCTCTATGTAATCTGAAAACACAATTACTTGTTTTATTGCAAATCATATAACTCTTTCATTAAAAAAGTTCTTCTCTATTCACCTACTTTTCTTTTTATGTTTCAAATTCATTTTATGCTCAAACTTGCTCTGAAATCTCTAAAGTGCCTTCAAAGGTGCTACTGACTAAAAGATCATTAGGTTTCCTCTTAACATTTTTCTATAACTTATAAAGAAAAATGTTACAGTTCAAAATAGGATAGAAAGGATCAAAAGGGAATATAAAAAGTATATTTTAAATAGTCAAGATTACTTTGTCCAGCAGATTTTATCGATGAGATCTTTCATTGTCATCCGGTCCCATTCTTCCGCATGAGGGGCATCCCATGGTGCATCAGCTGGAATCTGCAGAGAAAGAAGGTCCCATATCCAGTGTGATGGTTACTGTCCACTGCCCTGCCAAGATGCCCTAAGAAGAACCTCCGAAAACAGGTCTCTCTGTCTATGATGGAAAGTGTGATTGGCAATGTATAGATAGTGGAGAGGTTGGGATGAATAGCTCTTTGGATTCTATGCCTTAATGCTGTAATAATAATAATAGCAACAATGTATAAGTGTATGTATAAATATGCAATAAATTAATATGTAGCATGGACATATAAATTAATAAATTTTGATGATGATGATCATTATTATTATTACTGAAATCTAACACCCATTCTGAGTCCCCAATTTAGGTTTGAGAGTGTGATGTTACAGAGCCTCAGACTAAGAAAAAAAACTTTGGGGAAACAAATCTTTCTCTCCTTTATTACTAAAGTGGTGTCACATATAGGTAAGACAGCTATAAGTAGGATGCCTGGCAAAAATACATCACATAAATTCTCAGTGGCATAGACTGGAAAGCACATAGGCATTAGTATTGGAGAGATGTGAGTTTGAATCCTAGTTTCTTTGCTGTGTGGTCTTGGAGAAATTACATAACCCCTTGGCACTCATTTTCCTCATTCGTAAAGTGGAATTACTTCCAACTTGGCAGAGTTGTTGGGTGCCTTGAAAATGATATGCATCATTGTTCACAGCAATGTTCCCTGTATGGTGGAAGGATATTAAACAGTTGCTATTGTTATTTCAGAAACAGATCATGTTCAAACACACATTTTACCTCCTTTCCCATGTTATCCATTGTCCGCCACAGATTGTTGTAATCCAGATATGCAATGGGGTTCCATACTGGAGGGAAGGCACCCCTAAATGGGTAAGTTCTCCCCTATAACATAAAACCAAAGGATAATTCCTTAAATTTGGATGGCATTCTAAAATCCCCAAATAACATCTAAAAACCCCAAACCAAACAAGAGAAGAGCCATTTTCAAAGTAACAGGATCCCCTACTGTGTTAAAAGCATCACCTTTGATGGAAAATCAATGTATTTTACCTATACAGGCCCCAAATTTCAATAAAATTGGCAAAATTTCTCTGGTGTCTGTTACCTGTTTTTAATTTATAGAACATAATAGATTTTAACTTATTTCAACTTATATAGACCCAATGTGACCATAAAAATTAATTAATTAATTAATCAAAAAATAAATATATAAAGGTAGCTCATCCTAGTATCTAATACTGATGCCACAATACTCTCAAATCCTGACTTCCTATCTAATCTCTTTGAAGGATGTTCTTACTCAGATGAGAATAGGACGATGACTTGGCCCACATAGAAGACAGAAATAACAAAGCAGAATACTTCAGGCTGTGTTTTAAAGTTCACACAGGCTAAATACAGACTAGCTAGATGACACGCGATGCCTAAAAAGTCAAGAATCAAAATATTAAAAAAGTGGATAATTGGCATTTGCCATTTTTGATTGCCCAGCATTTGTTCCCCTTTCCTAGTAGTACCCTGGTTTCTTCTTGAAAAACTACCTCTCCTCCTCTGGGGTTAGATGTGTTTTTACCACCTCCCATTACAGCAGGTGATGGGGCTAGATTCTTTCTCCCCGCTCTGGCTCCTGGTGCAGCCAGACTGTGAGCCTGTGATCTGAGCATGGCCAACCACATACTCAGAAGACTCTGACCCCTAAATAGGTCACCCAAAGACAGAAGAAGGTTGAGTCTGGGTTCTCCTTTCCTGTGACAGCATGCTGAGCAGATGCTTCCTGTTATAAAAACCATGGATGTGGTTCCTGCCCCTAACTTGCCAGAGCTCCCCTGGTCTCTGCCCACTCTCAAAATGTGGTTCTCCAGGCTCCCATCCAAGGGTGAGGGGAGAGTGAATTCTTATGAAAAAGATATCAGTTCTAGTTAGTTTCTAAGGCCTTATTTCCTAATTTAATTTATTTAAAAATAAAACATCTCATAAATCTTCATAAAGTTGCAATATTGTCTACTAATATAATTTTGCATGAAATTTTGATTTTTTATCAAATAAAAACATATTTGATATTTGTAGAAAGCTTACTGTGTGCACTACATGATGTTAAGAGCTGTGTTGGATTTTTAAAAATGGCTAAAGCAAAACTCCTAACCATCAAGGCAGAGACATAAGATATAACAGCATTTGCATTCATGTGTGCACACTTGCAAGCATGTGCAGACACACTCTGAGTAAAAATATATGGCAGCATCATGTGACAAAGAAGTAATTTTTCCTTCCACAGTAGCAAATTCAAATAACCTTTGCAGATTATGTCATCTGATTTCTTATGTGAAATTGCCATGTCGTAATACTATAATACAACTTTTTGAGACACCAAATCCTTTATCATCATTATCACCACCATCAGCACAATCCCATCACTTATTAAGGTCTTTCTCCATGCCCGGCACTGGCCTAAGCTCTTCATATGCGTTATCTCATGTACTGCTTACCCCAACTCTGGGAGGCATGCACTATTAATATTTACATTTTATAAATGAGGAAACTAAAGCCCAGGGATATTAGCTAGACAATAGTAGAACAGAAATTTCCTGCTCCTAAAACCTTTGCTCATACACATTAAGTTTTCTGGCCTCTCATATGGTTGATGGAAAGTTGAGATAGGCTTGTTCTAAAGACATCTTAAACTTTTCAACTAAAAGAGAACTTTTTAATGTAAAACTTATAAACCTTCTGCTCACATCTTTTATGTTTCTAAGGAGTAAAATGGAGACTAAAATGCTCTGTGGTATAAGACCACTGCTGAGGAAACAGAGTCAACTTTGGAAAATGCTGAAACACATTCTGAGAGAAATGGGCAGAGCCATTTTACCCAGAACACAAAAAATAACTATGGAAAGGGGAGAGACTAAGGTTAAGTAACAGCTCACAGGCAGCCTTCAGAACAGCTGATTCTTGTTATAATTCTTTCCTTAATTGAAATTGGGAGAAATCTACATTTTCCTTTATAAGATGTGTTTATACTCAAGTAGTAGTCTCATACAAAACTGATCTTTGCTTTAAAAATATTTTAAAAAATTAAATATGCTCAATTGTCTGGGGGCATTAAGAAAAGTATTATGAATATAATTCAACACAACATGTTCCACATTCCTAATGAAGTTCTTCTCAGGACAATACCAACCACAGTATGATTTCACAGAAAGTCCTAAAGACTCCATGATCGAGCCTTGATAAATGGAGGTGGCAGGAGAAGTGAAGAGTTCAGCGAGAGAGGAGAGTCTAGCCTGGCAACCTTTTTAGGAATTAGAGCCATGGAATATTCTAAAAAGATCATAAAAGCCTACCAAACATTTTGTTTTTTTATCCTGTTGACAGATGCAACAAGTTGATAAAGTGATTTCATTAATCAGTTTCACTCGTAGCATTTTCCGGCTTCTCTGCTCTTATTCCACAGAAAACCTAAATCTGCTCAAGAAATGCATATAAATAGGAATAGGCACCTACATGCCACCTTTTCTTCTCTCATAAGCCCCTAGAAGGCTTATTTCCTCCATGGCTTGCTTCCAAACTAGAAAACTTGAGACTGCTTTTTGTGTGTGTGAATCCTCAAAAAAGTGCAGTGGAAAGGCCTGGAGATGTCTCTTGGCTGAGAACTGCCTGCTAACCAATCCTTCTCAGTCTCTTAATTGTAATCCAGTAGTTTTCTCACAAAGGCATCAGCAATGTCTCAGTCATAAACCACAACAGAAATGCCTTTAACACCTAAGAGAGTGAGGCGGGAACTCTGGGAATACTTCCAAATGCTACTGCTCTTTAAAAATCAAAGCAGGCCTCTCTGCAGCAGAGGCAGGGGGGCAGCCAGGGTGGTGCAGTCTCAGCCCTGCGCAAGGAAAGATGCACTGTGAGACCAAGAGGAGGGCCTGAGAGCAGCCGCAGGGCTGCAGTGCCACTAGACCAGGAGCTCCAGAGAGCAGGGAGTTGTGCAGCCACCTCTGTGCCCTGCCGCAGTACCCAGCCTGAGTCGAATCAAGGACCAGCTGCTGTTCACCTCCCCACCCCCACTCTGCCCTCTTGCCTCCAGCCATGGTGCCCTTGCTTGCCTTGTTTCTGGTGGCCCTGCCTCTGGCCCAGGCTCTGGACTTCCATGTATGCACCTACAACAGGGAGAATTGCTTCAACCCCATGCACTACCCGGCCATGGTCACCTACTGCATGACCACACATACTTACTATACCCCAACTAAGATGAAGGTGAGCAAGTCCTGCGTGCCCAGCTGCTTTGAGACCGTGTATGATGGCTACTCCAAGCACGTGTCCACCACCTCCTGCTGCCAGTACTACCTCTGTAACGATGCGGGCCTCGCCCCTTCGAGGACCCTGGCCCTGGCTCCCAAACTCCTGGCCATGCTCTGGGGTCTGTTTTGAAGCCTTTCTCCCCAAGACCCACTCAAGGACAAAGCTCTGAGAGGCACAACCCCACCCTCTCACCCTACACGCTCCACCCACCTTTGGCCTCTGCCACACCCAGGACTATCTGCCAGAGGACTCTTGGTCTCCCCACCCACTGTGTCCTGGCTCATGGGCCATGACCTCTCCATTTCAAAAGGCTGCTTTGGCACTAGGCCTCCCAAAGGTGACTGGCCTTGGTGTAGGAGCTGCCTCCTCTGTCCCAAAATGGACACCCAGCAGTGTGCTGTTAATGGGATCATCCAGCCAAGGAATCCTGATGTGCAGAGAGATGTGTCCCACCTCCCTGGAATCCCTGGGGGCAGCTGTGGCCTGAGGGCCAAGCAAGGAAGAAGGCCTTTGTTTCCCGCTGTCCTAGGGAAGGGCGCCAGGCAGCCTTGGTGTTAGGACAAAAGTACCAAGGTCTGGGTTGTTTTTATTAAATATCATTCTTGCGAGATGCCAAAATGTAGCAGTGTTTTACAGATGCAGCTGTAACCAGATAAGCTTGAACAGTAACCAAATAAGTTTAGCCAAATGCAATGAAGAAGTTAACACATAGTTAAATTGTGAATATAAGCAATGGCTAAGCCTCCCTTCCCTGAGACAGCTTTGGATGTGAATCCCATCTCCTTTACTTGCTGGCTAGTAAATAAAACTACCCAAGGACCAAAAAAAATATATATCAAAGGAAAAAAACCTTGAGTAAAGGTCAAATTCATCTTGTACCTATACTCTGAAACCTTCCTACCCTTGCAAAGTGGCCTTTAATCTTTAAACGATAATGTCTTTGACACAGCAGAAATTGTTAGTGTTAAGCAGAACTCAATGTCCCTGGAATTGTGCCCAAAATACTTAAGTCCCTTTGAGAAACCACATCTTCAGTCTACCAGTGTTCATAATAATGAGAGACTATTGCCAGATGATAATAGTTTATGGCTCCCACATCATTCTTTATTGTTGGTTGTATAAGATAAGCCAAGTTTATAGTAAGCAAGTAGCATTTACTGATTGGCATGCTAGAGAGTTTCATCTCTCTATTTTTACATTATAGTTAAACAAAAGGAAATGAGTGTTATTAAAGAATATCACAGGCCACTGAGGAAAGCTGCCAAATATTTTTCTTTAACCATCTTGAAAATAAACAGACATGTTTTGGATTTGTTTAGGAACATGTCTGCACAACCCATATGAATTCCCTGGCACCCTTTTAGTCCCACTGTTTTGTGACAAGCCTCTAAGAGAAATATTTTGGTTGTTTCTTTTCTATAATTCATAATAATGCTTTAAATGAAGAAATCATCTAAAAAGTGATCCATCCAGTAGGATGGCAGTATTGTGTTACGTTAGTTGTTAAAGAAATCATTTTTTTTCCTCTTTCAAAATGCAGGTAGTCAAGCTCTCTTCAGATATACAGAGTTCTACTCTACCTAGAAAAA